CCCAGCGGGCTGTTTGTACTTTGTTTTTTATAATTCTGAACCAAGAATTTGGTAGAATAGTAAGAGATGGTCTTGGATACAGAAACTAAACATTCCAAAAATCATATCCCCTAACAGTGAAGTTATAAAATATAAATGGGAAAAATGAAATCTAAAGAGCAATTACCTAGCATCAAATAGCTCTGAACATGAGTTATCCTCCACTCCAGCTATCTTTGAATAAAATCTCCCATCCCAGAAAGAATTCTGCAAAGACTTTGGGTTGTAAGTTAAGGACATTGCCAACTACGAAAGTGCTTATTATTAATTAAACAAAAAGATATTTGATAGATTAAGTCTATATTCCCTTTTCCTGTTCCATCATCAATGAAAATAAGTGAGACACTCAACAACACAGGTAAGATACTCCTTCAAGAATCTGAGGTTGTCTATGGAATTTCTTATCCAGCCTTTCTTTGCAGCTTTTGAAAAATCCACCCACTAAGCACAGAAAATAACATTTCCAACTCTAACAGTAGTGAGGAGACTGCCACAGAGGAGTCTTCATGCAGCTCTCTGGGAGTGGGAAGGCAGTCAGAGGATGTGGAGGAGAAGAGCCACTGTAGCTCGCACCCATGAAGACTTCGGTGAGAGGAGACCCAGGGGAATCCATGGACAACCCCAAGGAGTAAGGGTCAAAGCTCCCAGGCCTCATTCTGAACAGAGGCATCAGGTTAATGCAAACTCCACGAGACAACTACAAGGATTTAATGACTTGGTCAGAATAAAAGCTGGCAGACAGTTGTAAGGGGCTGAATTCTCCCCAGTTTTCCCTTTAAAATGTTAATATTTTCATCAAGGAGCTAATAAGGCCTATAATGGTAGGAAAGTTTTTAACAATCAAAATCACTTGACATGGCATCTTTGAAGACACATGATATATAACAACCCTTAACAATAAACCAATAACAATGCTGAGTAATTAATGTGTGCCAAAAACTGTCCTTCATGTTTGCATGTCCTCACTTGTTAAATGCTTACAACAACCCCACAAGATGGATCTATTAATGTCAATGCTTACAGAAGAGCAATGGAGGCCCATTGCATTCAGGAAGCTTTCTCGGGGAGCTTCCTTCCTGGTCACACGAGGAAGTAGTAGAGGTTGGATGAGACAGTGGCACACTGGCTCAAATTCAGGCTCATAATTAATATACAGTGTTCTAGAAAACAACTCTGGCAATGGCATGCAAGACAAATTCAGGAGGAATAGAAACCAAGGACAAGAGGAGCAATTAGGAAGAACTGTAGTAACTAGCCAGAGAAAAAACAAGAGACATAAGTGGACCAAAGAATAAAAGGAAGAATTTTCAACATGAACAATACATCTTCATTTACAAGATGTTCACTCCTCAAAACAAAATTAAAGAAAAAGTCCTAAGCTCAGACATGGCTAAAAGAATTTTCAGAACTTGCAAATGATACTCAGAAATGTTAAAAGGTTTAAGAAAATGCTTTCTTAAAGTAGAATTTCCAGTTTCTGCAGAACTTTTTAAACACATACCTGCTCAGCAAATCCCCAATTCAGTCCTTCTAGAATGACACAGGCCAGTTTATTCTTCACTGTTGTCAGGTTATGATTCAATAACCAGTCCCAAATCACAGCTATCTCAGAGGCAGAAGGTTGCCAAAGATACAAAGGCAACTCTTTAAACAAGTATAAAGAAACCTTATTAAAAGAAAACAGTAATAATTAAAACCAGAATTTAGAGACAATCTCATATTGCTAGAATACAATTTATTTTTGGTACCAGGGATCGAACTCGGGTCCTTGTGCTTGCAAGGCAGGTGGTAGAACCACTGAGCTAAATCCTCAGCCCTAGAATACATTTTTAAACTGTTTGTAAATGCTTTTTTTCTAAGAGGAAGTACTTTACGCTAATGAAATAAAAATTATGGGTAAGTAAATGAAATGGATTCAAACTGTTATGACAAAACTACACTTAGCAACCCTTTGTAAAGATCAATAATTTTAAATATGTAAATTGATATGCTTCAGTTTAGCTAAACCACATATTAAGACAGATTTTATTAAAGCTGAGGGAAGGTCACTCATTCAAAACAAAATCAGCACTTTATTTCTTTATGACAGTTGAAAAGCTATTTCTATTTAGCTCAAAGCACTCTGTATGAAGAGGTACAGAAAATAAGAAGTAGATGGGGATACATATGAAATAAGATCCATCAAGAGTGGGTGACTTAAAACTGGATTATGGGTACAAAAAGGTTTATTATACTATTCTTTTTTTTTTTCCTTTCTTTTATTCTGCTTTTTTGAGACAGGGTCTCAATATGTAGTTCAGACTGCTCTGGAACTCACTGTGTAGCCCAGGCTGGTCTTGAACTCACAGCAATCCTCCTGCCTCAGCCTCCCAAGTACTGGGGTTAAAGGCATAAGCCACCACAACCAGCTATTCTATTTTTATATACATTTGAAACACTCCCTAATTTACTTTTTTGTTAGTATGTGTTTGCAATACATGAAATTTACATTCATTTTGCTGGACAGGTACTTATATATAACATAGCTTAATCATTTTCTAGCCCTTTTCTCCTCTACCTACCCCTAAACCTTTCTTTGAATGCCTCATCCTACTATAAAAAGTCTGCTTTTATTTTACTTTTTTTTTTGGTACCAGGGATCAAACTTGGGTTCTTGTACTTTCAAGGCAGTCAATGGAACCACTGAGCTAGATCCCCGGCCCTATTTTACTCTTTATAACTGGGTTTCTCATATGAGAGCAACCAAGAGATAGTTAGCTTTCTGTGTCTGATTTAAGAAATTTAAAAAATCCTGTTTACAAAAGATCAATGGCAACAAATTTTTTAAAAATAACCTATGTGTGCAAAATAAAATAAATCTGGGTTCATTTAATAAAGTTTTCTTTAAGGGAAACTGATTAGAAGAACAATTCATTTCATAATGCCTTGAACAGTGCTGTTCAATGGAAATATACTGCCACATATGAAATAGTAATTTTTCTAGTAACCACCCTCCCTTTATTTTGCAGTACTGAGAATTTAACCCAGAAACTAGAGCATGCTAGGCAAGTGCTCTACCACTGAGGGACATCCCCAGCCCTTTTAAAAAATTCTTTGAGATAGGAGATTTCACTAAATTGTCTGGGCTAGTCTCAAACTTGAAATCCCCCTGCCTCGAGTAGCTAGAATCCTGAGTAGCTGGAATTACAGGCCTGGGCTGCCATGATGTAATAGCCCCACATCTTTAAAGCCAAAAGAAAGAAGAAAAGGTCCAAAAGGGAAGGGGAAGTAGAGAAGGGGGTGGGCGAAAAAACAAGAACCAAGATATATCATGTACAGGTACAAATTCCCAATGACAAATGTGATCATAACGTATACCTATAATGTACCAATAAACTTAATGGGGGGAAAAAGCCAAAAGAAACAAGTAGAATTAATTTTATTGTTTTATTTAATATGATATCCAAATATTTTCACTTCAACATAAAATTGCTTAAAAAATGATTTAGATGTATAAAATTATTTTGTTCATACTATGTCTTAGAAACTCATCAAGTTTCTTAGAGCACATTTCAATTTGAACTACTCCTCTCCTATTTAAGTCATAAATAAAATCTGAATGGTCCCATAATTGTTAAACAAAACTCAGTCTGTTACCAAGACTTTTTACAAAGAAAACTCCTGTTCTAGAAGATTTCACTGGTATATTTTATCATTCAAAGAATTAAGAATAATCTTGCAAAAATTATTTCAAGACAGAAGGAATGCTTCTCAATTCATATATCAGGCTAACATAACTCTACACCCAAAACATAATAATGATAACGAAAAAATTATAGATTAATTGCCTTCATGAATATATGCAAAAAAAATTTTTTTTGTTTTGTTTTTGGTACCGGAGATAGAACTAAGGACCTTGTGCTTGTGAGGCTGGCGGTAGAACCACTGAGCTAAATCCCCGGCCCCAGCAATATTATTATCAATTTGAACCCAGTGATACCTAAAAAGGATTACACATGATCAAGTGATTTTTTTTACTCCATGAAACAGTGATGGTTTGATATTTGAAAAACTAAAACTTGAAATCTGATAGGCAACCAATGTAGTTCATGACATTAATAAAGGAGAAAAATCCTAAGATCATCTCAATGGATGCAAAAAAGTCCTTAAATACTCATTAATTTAAAAATAGCACAGGAAGAGTGATGAGCCTTTTATGCTTCTTAGAATTAGTTTGAGTGTGCATATTACCTACTTAAGGAATAAGTAAAATAAAACAAAACTAGTATAAAATTTTTTTTTAAAAAATAGCAATAACCAGGTGTGGTGGTGCATGCCTGTAATACCAGAACCTTGGAGGACAAGACAGGAGGAACACCATGAGCACAGGGCCAGCCTGGAATACATATTGAGTACAAGACCCACCTGAACTAAACAGTGTCTCAAAAGAATAGTAATTTTTAAAAACAGTAATAATCTCGGCAAACTAGAAACAAATTCCTAAGCCTAATTAGATAACAGCCTTAATGGTGAACTTATTTGTACAGGTGGTGATGAAGACAGAGCCCAGGTCTTGGGCATGCTAGGCAAGTGCTCTGCCCCTGAGCTACAACCTCAACCTCAATGATGAACTCTGAACTCTTTCTCCTATTACAGACAGTGAAGCAAGGACATTCACCCTTACAGCTACTTCTATTCAATAATATAATGAACGTTCTAGCCAAAATATAAAGCAAGAAAAAGAAATGAAAGGCACAATGATTATAAAGAAAGTCTAATTAAGAATTCTAATGAGAATTTTTTCAAAAAAATAGAATTTATGTATTTTAAAATATATTAATACTGTCGCTGAAAGTCAAAGAAATCACTACTTTTACTTGAGATTGTAGAAGATACTTGAATTTCACTAACCAATGTAGAGTGTGGGTTTCCTCGGAAGCGTACCAATCTTTAAAATCATACAGTAAGCCAAAGGAAAATATGACATCAACTTACAAACACAACACTAAGTTTTATCTTCTAGGATCTCCCAAGGAGATTGGTCCTACTCAACAGCTACCTAACCAAGAGTAATCCCCACACAGGATGTTATACCGGGCCTCTCCAACAGAAGCTTATCTTCAGGCATACACCAAGTATGTCAGTAGAAGTTCAGGGACTCTGGCCACAGCTCATTCCCAGGCTGAGGAGCCAGAGTCTAAATCAAGCTAGACCAAAGTCAAAGCCATCATTGTTTTGTCAAAGACATGGTGGGGGGCTTCAAAAACCTTAGCAACTTCACAAAACACAAGAAAACTACACATAAAAATTGGTAGTACAATAATAGCCAGATGTAGTGGTGCATGCCTGTAATTCCAGCACTCGGGAGGCTGAGGCAGGAGGATCACTGTAAGTTCGAGACCAGCCTGGGATACATGGTGAGTTCCAGGTCAGTCTCAACTACATAGTGAGACCCTGTCTCAAAAAACCAAAAAAAAAAAAAAAATTGCTAGCACAGGTATATTACACGTGTACTCTATAAAATCTTGGTACCTATTTTTACATTTATTGTTAAGCCTATTCCTGGATATAGCTTCCTATTAGAAGTACTTTGCCAAATTAAAAATGTATGTAGTTGTTGTTAAAACCAGAAAGACAATAGGAGAAAAACATCACTAACTCAGTCAAACTGAAAGAATCATGTGATTCAATGCACAATTCTCCAGAATTCATTCCATGAGAGTATCTCTCAAAAGCCAACTGCTATACTGAACTACATGTTAATGGCTTTTTACCTCAATGTTTTTCTTAAAAGAGAAAAGTACTTTGTACTGCCACTGTGAGAAATATGATAATGATTCCCCCCAAAATTAAAAATAGAATTATCATATGATCTAGCTATTATATTTCTGGGTATATATATCAAAAAAATAAAAAGCAAGGCTGAAAGAATTTGTATACTCATGTTCATATCAACATTATTGCTAATAGCAAAAGGCAAAGCAACCAAGTAGAAGAATGAAAAAACAAAACATGGTACATAAATACAATGAAAAAATATCTGGGCTTAAAAAGGAGAAAACTGACACATCTACAAATAGATGAACCTTAAGGACAGCATGCTAAGTAAAATAAACCAATCACAAGAGACTACACATGATACTATTTATATAACGTTTCTAAGAATAAGCAGATTTGCAGAGATAGAAAGTAAACTTGCTTAGAGGTGAGGTGGGTGGAAGAACAGGGAACAACAGCTAAGTTTATGAGATTCCTTTGTGAGGTAAAGAAAATGCTCTAAAATTAATTGTGATGATGGCACATAACCAAATATACTAAAATAAATGCACTTTAAATAGGTGAACTCTATAGTTATATGAATTGTATCTCATTAAAGCTGCTTTTAAAAACTACAAAAAGGTTGCAAAAGGAAGTGCAACAAAAGAAATAAACTACATCTATGTTCAACTTAAATTACTACTTTTAAATATTTTACATGTAATATTTTTGTTGTTGTTTTTTATTTTTTATTTTTGAGACAAGCTCTCACTATGTAGTCCAGACTGGCCTTGAACTTGTGGTGATCCTACTGCCTCAGCCTCCCAAGTGCTGGGATTACAAGTGTATGCCGCTGCACCCGACTAATACTTTTATTTTAGACATGTACTACTTTTAATTTTGCATTTGACTGATTTCAATGGGGCCTTCTTTCTCAGTCACAGTTGTTTCCTCCAAGTACATATAAAAATTATGAAAGCCAAGCCAGGTGTGGTAGCATATGCCTGTAATTCTAGTACTCTGTGAGGCTGAGGCAGGAAGATCTCAAATTTGAACACTGCCTTGGCAATTTAGCAAGACCTTGTCTCAAAATAAAAAATAAAGCCAAGGATTTAGCTCAGTGGTGCCACCACCTGCCTTGCAAGCGTGAGGACCCAAGTTTGATTCCCAGTACCATAAAAAAATTAAAAATAAAAATTATAAAATGGCTGGGGATGTAGCTCAATTTCCAGTATTACGGGGGAACCCCCAAAGAATTATGAAATCCAAACAAATTATGAAATAAAAATTCCCAATTAATGATCACCTAAAAGACCTGTTATTGAGGACATTGGGAAAATGGAACTCTTGAGATTTGAGAGAGCCAATCCTAGCTGTTTAGAAGCAACAGCTAATCCCAAATTAGCATTGCACGTGGCACAGAACCTGTCCTCCCAATGCACCCTTAAATGACACCATCATTCCCAACAATCTTCTATTTTTGCCATCACTCCATTCTTCAGGATTAAAAATGATGACAACACCAACAAACAGTCAGTGCCCTTACCACTCCAACCTGGTCGATGGTCTCTTGAACTCTGTCCAAAAGGAAAGAAATGATCTCAGGGTGAACAGCTGTGATGGCCCCCAAAAGTTCTCGACCAACTTTTGAAAAAGTCTCTCTGGTGGAGAGGCTGACGTAAGACACCTAAATGGCGAGTGGGAGGAGAGACAGCACATTTAATAGCAATTATCAATCAAAACACATTTCCATAGTTTCTTTAAACAAAACAAAAAGAATCTAACACTGAGCCTCAGTTAACACTATGTTCAGAAAGCTGTCAAAACTCCAGACAGCAAACTGTCTGCCCTGAGGCTGGAAGGTGGGAATAAAGGGATTGCTGGAAATGCTAACTATTCATAAAAATGGCATCGAGTGCTAGATTAAAACGAATATCCCAGCTGGCCACAGTGGAATATGCCTGTAGCCCCAATAACAATAGAAAAGGAGGACCACTTGAGGAGTTTGCAGCCAGCCTGAACAAAAGAGCAAGACACTTACCACAAAAAAATAATAATAAAAGTTTATCAGTAGCAATGAAAAAGTCCCTTTGATATTAAAGCTTTTCTTATTTTCAGGAAATCACTAAAATGATGAAAGTCATCATGCATTTCACAGAAATAATCTCTCCTACAAAATAAGATCCCTAACTACAAGAGAGTCTGAAATATCAATGTTAACTAACTCCTCTTGAACAACACCTTTCCAACTATAGTTTACAATCAATTCATGTCAATGGCCAGCATTTTAAAAATACAATAAAATAGAACAGAGAAAAGAATAGAAAAATATAAGAATGCAAGAGCTTCTAAATTAGTCTGAATTTTAGAGCTTCTAAAATATCAACATTAACTAATTCCTCTTGAACTCATCTTTTCAGCTACAGTTTACAATCCACTCATGTCAATGACCAGCATTTTAAAAATACAATAAAACAAAACAGATAAATAATAGAAAATAAAAAGAACAGAAAAACTTAAGAATGCTCCATAGGGTAGGGGTGGTGATGCATGTTTGTAATCTCAGCTACTAGGGAAGCTGAGGCAGGAGGATTACAAGCTTTAGGCTATGCTGGGCAACTTAATGAGAACCTGTCTCAAAATAAAAAGGGTTAGAGATGTAGCTCACTGCTACAATGCTTGCCTAGCACATGAGAAACCATGAGCTTTATCCCCAGTATTGTCTTCCCCCTCTCCCAGCAAAAAATGCATCACAGAAAAATTTATTGTTTCAATTACATACATAGGGCCAGACTGTAATATATAATGTAGTTTTACGTGACTCTTGGTCAAAACACCTGAAACACTATTTAAGAGTATAAAATACTGCTTCAACAGATCTTGAAAATGTCATTTAACACATGTGAAAATTCATCTCTTCCTAATTTTTCAGACCATGAAGACAGTCTGGAATTCCAGGTCCAGCAAGGTCTTAACCTCACATCCAGTTATGAAGTATCAACACAATGCACTTCAACTTGCAAAGATCTTTAGGCCACCCAAGTCTATCATCCTTAAACTGGTATATTGGGGGATGATAATAAACTCAGGGAGAATCTTCTTTCAAAAGTAGAAAATGAACTATGCAAGGATCTCATCTCAGCCTGTCATTTCATAAATGAGGAAGAAGGAGTCCATGTGGTACTAAGTTTTCTTTCCTTTTCTTTCTTTCTGTTTTTTTTAAAGACAGGGTATTTTTAGTCACCTTCCCTTCACTGGGCAATATATACCTGCAGCTTAGAGGATTTACTTAAGCTCCCAGTTTCAGTCCACGGTTGGCTGGCTCCAAGACAGAAGTACCATGGTGAATGTGGCTGGGTCTCAGCCTCCCAAAGGGATTACAGGCATACACCACCATGCCCAGCTATAAGATTTCTTTCCTAATATACGATGGGTAGTTCATAGCAAAATTAAACCAAAACTCAGACCTTCCAATTCTAAATTAAATATTTTTTCTACCATCTCATTTAAACTTGTTCGTAGGTTCAGTTTCTGTTACTGGCAGGGTAAAGAAATGGAAATTGCGGGGGGGAAAGTAGACAGTGAGAGAAACAATATAAAAACTCTAAGTGCCAACCTGTGCCACAGTCTCTTCCTAGGAAAAGAATACTCTCATGTATCAATGTTAACAAAGAGTAGAGGGAAATGGAACGGTGTAATTCATGCTCCAAAATTCCCTATAGCAAGACAGAGTTCCTTTGATTTTCTACCCTCTTCCATGACACAGACAGACAGTACCTAAGTATGTCATAGTTTTTGTTTGTTTGTTTAGAACCAGGGATCAAACTCTGGACCTTACGCTTGCAAGGCAGATAGCAGGACCACTAAGCTAAATCCCCGACCCAGTATATGATACTTTTAAAAAGCAATACCAAAGGAAACAACAACTGGACAACACAAAAGAAATCATTTTTTCACTAATTTATAAAACTTCATCTTCTAACCTCATATATCTCCAGAACAATAATTTTTATGAAGTCTTCATCCACATTGGTTCTTCTGGCCTGAGCCATCTGAGCAAAGGTAGTCAGAAGGCAAATTTCTTCTGAGCTATTCATGGAAGAAAGATACTTCTCAAAGTTCGCAAAATGTTCTGGGTCTGCAAGTTCATATCAAGAAAATTAAAGTGGAGAATGAATAAATTTATATATTTTCTTTACTATTCCAGAAAGAAAAGATATTTAGAAATATTTAAAGATATAGAAGGTCTTTTAAAGATACCAGGAAGAAAACTGGACCATATGGCCCCTGAACTTACAACAAACTCTAAATATAATGGAGCCTCTGAGGAGACATTTAACATCTCCAAACCTCAGTTTCTTCAACAGTCACAAAAGGTCATTCCAGAAAATTAAATGCCATGTCACTGGTAAAGTGCTTTGTTAACTGCAAAACATCACTACTGTCACCAGGTGAATCCCTTCAAAGCTCACACTGCTGACTTCACAGGCAACCTGAAGTCTTTCAGTAATTCGCAGGAATGAAGACACTCCAGTGAACTGCCTCAAGTAGCAAGTGACTCAGTACAGAAACCCAAATAAAAGATACTGGCTTAAAAATGAAGGGAAGAAACAAAAAATTAGTTACAACCATGTCTGAAATACTGACATACACAATGTTTTGTCTTGGTTTCAAAAGGCACTGTGAAAACAATATTTTGTCGCTAGGAGGCAGTATTAACTTTGTAATACATAACAGAAAACTAGACATTGCAAAAGGAAAATTTTAGAAAGAAGAAAAAACCCCACTTCAGAAATATATTCCCAAATGGAATTTTCACAGTAAGGTAACAAGCCAACAATTCTTTTCATACATTTATGCATTTGAGAAATCAAAGATAGTTCATCAAATTTCCTGTATTTTCAAATAACTCCATGGGGCACTTATCAAACCAATTTTCATTTCCTTTCTTGCAACTGGATTTATAATGGAAATTACTACACAGAACATTCTTAAAATAATGGAAACTGGAATTATCATTCTAATTCAGAATGTCTTAAGGTACATTTAAGGGAGAGGCTTTGCATTTTAAAGAATTCTACAAAAAGAACAAATGGGAAAGAGAACTTTCAAATTAGCTTTTCAAACATTATTTTGAGAACAAACAACATAAGCACAGTTATATATTTATCAAATTTATTTGATTCTACTTTACTTGTAGTCATGATGCTGATCATACTAGAAACAAAAAGAAGCCAAGGGTGGGGGATTTAGCTCAGTGGCTCTGCCACCTGCCTCATAAACACAAGGACCCAAGTTCGATCCCCAGTACCAAAAAAAAAAAACCCCAAAAAGATAAAGAAGCCAGATTAAATCAGGCCAATTTTTAATAATCACTGTTGAGAAGTCTACTAGTTAAAATTAACAGTTAAAATCTGTTATTTTGGAACTATAATTTGAGGATCACTTCATCTCCATTACCTCAGCTAAATGAGAACTGACTAAAAGGAATATGAACTTCTAATATTTATTAAATACAAAACATGTTAGGAAAGTAAAACAAAAAGCCATTGGCTTCTACAAACAGTAAAAATTAAACCTCCCTTGGGTCAGGGATTTAGCTTAGTGGTTCCACCACCTGCTTCACAAGTGCAAGGTCCCAAATTTGATCCCCTGTATCAAAAAAAAAAAAAAAAAAAAAAAAAAGCCTCCCTCAAAAAGACATTTAAAAGTCCAGGGATTTAGCTCAGTGGTTCTGCTGCCTGCCTTGCAAGCACAAGGACCTGGGTTTGATCCCTGGTACCAAAAAACAAACAAAAAAAGACATTTAAGATTTTACAAATGAAGGCTGGCATGGTGGCACATGCCTGTACTGTCAGCACTAGGGAAGCTGAAGCAGGAGGATCACTGCAAATTCAAGGCCAGCTGGGGTTACATAGTTCAAGGGCAGTCTGGAATACCTAATGAGACCCTGTCTCTCTCACACTCACACACACACACACACACACACACACACACACACACACAAACAAAAGAAGACATTTTTAAATAGTAAATTAAAACAAGAGGACCAAATGCAAAGAACCTCATGATTCAAACTTAATAAGGCAAATGAAACTTCTCTACTATGACACAGTAACTTGTGTGGCGGGAGATAAAGGCCATAAGACTGAAGAAGGTAAAAGGGCTGTAAGAGCCTAGAATCCAGAGCAACAGCTTCCAGCACAGGCCTGAAGCTCTATGATAAGGCCAGGCTGGACCTCCTGACCTAGAATCACTTCAATTACAGGGCAGAGCTGCTGAATAGTACGTGTGCCACAGTGCATAACAGGGGCTTGGCAGATGGTTAAGTACTCAATAAAGAGACCTAACCAAGACTGAACTATGTAAGTGTTCATAGGTGCTGCTAACCATCCCAAACACAGCTAAAGGAAAAGTCTGTTTTCTGTGTTGTACTGTTTCACCCCCACATTAGCTGCCATGAAGCAGACAAAAGCTGTGAAATGCTCTCACCTTGTTCACTGGCAGACCTACTCCAACCATGGGAACAATCTAATGCAAGAACCTCCCAGCACAATACAGAAGCATTTTATGAAGAAGAACAACATGAAGGAGTTCAGCGCTACCTCTGTACAAAAATGGAGAAAAAGGGTCAGGGATTTAGCTCAGTGGTGCTGCCACCTGCCTGGCAAGCACAAGGTCCTGAGTTCAATCCCCAAAACCAAAAAAAAAAAGGAAAAACAAAAGTAGATTCATGTATAATACCAAAACAGATGGGGGAAAGGGGTAGAAACAAATGAATACATCAATCTAGAAAAGGAAAAATAGAGATAAAAAAAACTATGAAAGTCTGTAAAACCTCTTTGAAAATAGCAGAAGTTCAATAATTTTTAAGATTTTCAAAAAATTTATGATTTTAACTGATATACAGGTTTGAAATTTTGGAGAATAGAATTCATTTTTGGTATGTTTGAAAAATCTTGTTAAAGACAGGGACAGTGGCACATGCCTTTTATAATTTCAGCATTCTAGGAGAGGCTGAGGCAAGAAAATCTCAAGTTCAAACCCAGGCTGGGCAACTTGGTGTGACTCAAATAAAAAAATGAAAAATTGATAAAAATAAATAAAAAGGCTGGGGATATAGATCACTGTGAAAGCCCTGGCTAGGCTCTACCAAATTTTTTAAATATACAAGATAATTGTTTAAAATCATTATAGTATATGTACAAGTAAATAGTCTGATTTTTTTTCAACATTGAAACAAAAGCAAAAAAATTAATCATGTTGCCATGAGATTAGAACTTTATCAGGTTTTCAACAAAATTAATTATTTTAAAGTAAATTTACCTACCTCCTTATCTACTTTCTAAGAAATATAACATATTCTTAAAAACAGCAAAAAAAGATAGTGGAACAACTGGGCACAAAACTTGAACAAATTTCCAGACAATCAATACATACTTGTTAATCCAACTAGAATAATTTCATACATAAAAAAGTGATTCCTAGGTCAGGAAGTTCATTACTGTGTTTATTCAATTTAGATTTCATATATGCCAGCTTCTACCTAATAAATTCAAACAGTGAAGTAGATCCTCAAATTTCAAAATCAGCAGAGTAAAACACTCTCTTAGTTCCTCTAAAAATAAAAGGAATAAAGCCATGAAGACACGCACAAAGGCAGGGAAAACTAGAGCCACCTGCTCTGGAGAAGCTGTACCTTGAAGCTGCCTCTTGCACTCGGCAGGCTGGGGGGCGGAGCCAAGCTGCTGCAGGTTCCCATGCTCCACCTGGTGCATGAGGTAGAACAGCTTCCAGAGCATCTGTGCAGACAGCGTCCCAAAGGGCATTTCAGACATAAAAAGCCAAATGCCAAGTCTGTGTGATTTAAAAAAGCAGAATTCTGAATATTAATTAGTTTCACCATACTAAGAAAGTAGAAACAAACCTTTAGCTCTCACAGATAAAACTTTTTAAAGCACAGTGCCACAACTTTTCTAACATGATTGGTCATAAGCACCTCAACAATGGATAATTATAATGCCAAATACTCATGAAGCATTCAGTCTATGCCAGGTACTGTTCTGATTGCCATGTCACATATAAATGAAATACACACACACACATACCCCACGCACAAACACACAAAACGTTAAATATTCCTTATCCAAAATTCCAAAATGCTTGGGACCAGAAGTGTTTCAGATTTTGAATGTCGGGGGGGGGGCAGATCTGCATATATAATGAGATATCACTCATGGGACCCAAATCTAAACCCAAATTCATTTGCTTCATATATACCTTATCACATAGCCTTGCAGGTAATTTTACACAATATTTTTGGTACATCTGTTTTGACTTCAACCTAGCACAAGATATCAAGTGTAGAATTTTTCCACCTTTAACATGTCAGCACTAAAATGTTTCAGATTTTGGACTTTTTCAGATTAGAGATATTCAATTTGCATATAATATCAACTCATCCCATCCTAAATAATACCAATAGTTATTGGTATTATTTCCAATTTATACATGAGGCTATTAAGACACAGAATAGAAAAGGGACAGATGGTTTTGAACCAAAGATTCTTTTAAAATTTGAGCTATCCAGATGGGGTGAGTGTTAAGCTGTATGCATTTTTATGTGTACACAAAGACATGAGCAGTGGGTACGGGAAAAATCAAAACTGTCCAGTGGCTCCTCCCTGATCATTGAATGAAGTTCAAACATCTTGGTGCCATATTCAAAGTCTCCACGTTATAATAGCTTGGCCTCATATTTCCAGCCCAAGTCTTTTGTGACAATCCACTATACCTCAGGCAATATCCTTCCATTCAGGACACCTTCATCTGAACTACACTTCGGCACTATTGCAGAACTCCATTCATACCTGATTTTGGCATTACCATACCTTTCACTAGTTGTTCTTACATTGCAGTGGCCAGAAAAATCACCTGGAGACTGTAAAATACAGATTCCCAAGCCCCGCCTACAGATCCTAACTTTGTAGGTCACAATCGGGACCCAAGAGTTTGCATCTGTTACATTCATCCTTGGTGACTCAGACTCCTATGAGTCTATTCCTCTTCTTTCTTTTCTGAACTCAGGACTGAATCCCGGGCTTCGTGCAGGCTAGGCAACTGCTCTAGCACTAAGCTATATCCTCAGCTATTTTAAAACTTTATTTTGAGATAAGATCTCACTAAGTTGCCCAGGCTGGCCCAACTTGTGATCTTCCTGCTTCGTCTCCTGAGAAGCTGGAATAACAGGCATGTGCCACCAGGTCTGTCTTAAGATTTCAGTCTTAAACCACACTGTGAGAAAATATCCTCAGTACTATAATTTACAAACACAGACTAGCCTACAACAATTTGAAAGCAGAAAGTCCTGTTCATTTTTATTTTAACCAGTTTATAACCAAGGACTTGTATTTTAGTATTTGTGCTGCTGAAACAAGCACAAGGGGCCTGTATTTTAATTATGTGCTACCTAAAGCAGTAACTCAAAAACAACCAACACTTAACAGATGTTTATTAAAACACTGTGTGAATATTTTCACTTTTAAAGAAATCTTTAAAACAAATAGGAAGATGTTCAAAACTTTGAGATATTTTGAGCACAGCTAGAAACTGACAAATTACAAAGGAAACAATTTTATTAAGAAAAAAATAGGCTGGGCACATGCCTATCATCCCAGCACTCGGGATGCCAAGGCAGGAGGATCCCCGTGACTTCAAGACCAGCGTGAACTAGACAGCAAGATCTTTTCCCAAAAAAAAAGGACAGAGAAATAAAAAATAAATGAATAATAATTGTCTACTCTTCCTCTATGAATCTAGGCCCACTACAGTGGCCTAAGCCCACAGTGACCTAGAGAAGGAACATCTAGACTCCTGAGCAAGAGGGGAAGAAACTGTTCTAAGATTTCTGTTTTATGAGTTAACCATCCTAACACTTCACATGGGATTTGATGCTGTAATAAAACAGATCCCAATATAATAAAGGGATATTGTAGAGGCCAAGAGAGTAAGGTCACAAAATGGTATAGTTCAGACTGTATGGCAGATATATAATAAATGTGACTTAGGTTTCTGTTGTTTGTCTTTTGGTTTGGTTTGGTTTTAAGGGAAGAGGATCACTGTCATAAGTCTCCATCAGACTGCCAAATGCATTTAGATTTCATGGCTTCAAATTATCTGATTCTCATGTAATATATTTCCTAAAATAAATCATATTTAAGTACAATAGCTCTCAACATTTAAAAATTTAAGACAATTATCTTCGTGATTGTATAAATAATGTTATGAAATCACAGCTCCCTTTATAAAATCTAAATAGCTTGGGTAAAAGCTTTTTCCACTCAGTTAATCAAGCACAAGAACAAATGCCAGGTAGATGGAAGGCTCCTCCCTCACAACACAGGCACCAATGGGAAGGGCAGCAGACCATGTCTGGTGCACCCGAGGAGACCACCAAATTTATGATACACAAGTAGCAAGAGTAATCTAAAGACAGATTTCTATGTCCAAGTTCTACTGACATTAAATTCATTCCTTCTGTGTGTCTAAAAGTTTTCTCTAAGTCTATTCTTTATTTGAAACCATATTAAGAAAAACCATTTACATGTGAAAGGTCCTTCCTGGTTTAAAAAGTATTTCTACGTGTCAATGCAATGTATTCTTGTAACATATCCATGAGGTCAATAGAACAGTAGTATCAAATTGTGTCTATTTTATAAAATAAATAAAGTAAGACCAAAAATATTATAGGATTTGCCCAGGGTAAATGTAAATGGCAGACTAGATTCAAACTTGCTACATCCAATGAACTGGTGACTGAGTCAAGAAAGAGTACAGAAGGAAGAGTAGAAATGACTAGCTCAGGAGAAGACAAAAGTAGGGGAGGGCTAGTAGGTCATGACCAGACTGGGAGAGGACAGAGGCCAGCCTGCATCTCCTAGAGAAGAAAGAGCACTATCCTTTGGCAGAATCTCCTGCTACACTTGGCCAGAAGCTCAGAAAAGGCAATGAGGATACACAGCTATGCCCCTTGCCTATGCCTGAAGTATATCCTGGGCTGAAAGAAGCAGCCCAAACAGAATACTCACAAGACAACATTTACAGAGTCAAGATAAGACCAAGAACCGTGTAACGTTTTCTGTATTTTAAACCACAACAGTAAGCCAATCATGTATACCAGGTACTGTATTAAGTATCTACTGTGTCTCAGAGTAAGCATGGAAATTCACTGTGCAATGAAATTCATTCTTGTTTTCCCCTGCTTACTTATGGCTGCCCTCAGTTCAGGGGTGGAAAAATTGAGATATCAGGCTTGAGTTATTTTAAGACAGTCAGAAGCCTGAAACATTATTTCAGCCCACAAAGACCACACTACAGATAGGGAAACTAAGGCCCAAGAATTTGCCCAAAATAAGAAACAGATGAAATATACTAAGACATTACTATAGAAACCCTCTTTAGTGAATGACTTTCTCTCTGATCTTTCACTAGCCAAGAAGTCTCACCAGTTATCATGATATGTCTTACCTTTTGGCTTTCAGCACATATAGGACAGCTCTCAAAAACAGCTCATCAAATTCAACTTGTAGCTTCTCCATGGAATAGGGCTGCAGGGCCGCTCCCATGCCTTCATTGTGGCTCACAAACTGTGCCCAGTGGTCACTCACATAGCCAAGGGTCATCCTGAACACGAGGAAAGACAATTCAGCTTTCCATTCACTCATTAGTACCAGCACCTTTACATCACCTTTTTAGGGTTAATGCATTTAAATGCATATTTATTGAGCACCTACTATTTTCCAGGTCTCAAAGGTAATATATTATGGAAAAAGAAAAAAACCTCCTTCCTGAAGCTTGCATTTATTGAAAAGCGAAGAGACAACAAAATACATAGTCTGTCACATAGCTGCCAAGTGATATTGAGAGAAGCAAAGCAGGAAAGAGAAACAAAGTATGTCTGAAGATGAAGGAATATGTTGGGCTAAGCAAGATAGCTGGGAGTAAGAGAGGTCTCACTCACTAAAGGGGAAATATGGAAATATGTTCTGCAACTGAAAAGTACGAGAGGAACCTGTGATGAATACAAGGAAAACAAAAACAAAGAAAGAATGATCATACACATAATATTCAAACATGTAAGTATTTACATAATAATAAGCCCCAGTGGTGACCTACAAAATCAGGTGGGGCTTAGAACTGTGTATTTTAGAGAGCCTCCAGATGACTTTTCTGTCTACTTCAATGTGGGATCCACTAATGGGAGGTATGGTAAGGCCAAAGTCAGATACGAATGGAGTCCTGCAGTAATGCTGAGAACAGATAAGGGTGTCCTGAATATTGATCTTAAGACAATAATGTCTTTCTTTTACTCAAAAAATAAAATGACAAAGCACAGTTCTAGTAAGCATGCAATCATACATCATATATGTGGTCTAAAAAACAAATTTTATGTGGCCTTATTTATCAAACACAATCAGAAGATGAATAATTGAATGGGCTTCTGATAAAGAGACTTTTAGCTTTTAAGAAATTAATCTCCAGGGCTGGAGATTTAGCTCAGTGGCACCGCCACCTGCCTCACAAGTGCAGTCCCAAGTTCGATCCCCAGTATCAAAAAAAAAAAAAAAAATTAATCTCCAGGTCACCAGCCACCCCTCCTTCCACAATCTCATTTTCCTCACCCTCTTCCAAAGGCATGTGAGATTTCTGCAAGTGACACCCAGCCTGTGAAGGCATTCTGGCCTCACAAATCTGACACATACCTAAAATAAAAATATCCTTTACCTGGCCTCATAAAACTGACACATACCTATAATAAATGAATAAAAAACAATTTTTCTGGAAACAAAAGGGAAGGAAAGTTTTGTAGTTTTATGAATCTGTTTTTTTCTGGAAGAGGTTGGGAAAAAAATAGACTATGTATATGCTATAATGATCCTTTATTGTTGACAAAAAGGGTAAGGATGATACAAAATTAATTCAAAAATATATTCTCAAAATAATATATATATATATAATTATAATAATAAACTATAAACCACTTTTCAGTCAAATACTATATAGTAATGCTTTCCCAGTTCAAATATAGTGGCCACTGATTAAGATTTTGCAATTCCTAAAATGTTACCTACTACAAATTAGAATAAGAATAAGAGAGAAAACAACAACAAAAAAATAAAGATACAAAAGAGCCATGACCAATTTTCAATATCTAAGTTTCAGTACCAAGGTAAAAGCTAGGAGGCAGACAAGACTTAAAGGACACAAAAGAAGCAAAAGAAGCGTTTGCATTGACCCTTCTCTCCAGCTCAGACTTCAATTCAGCTGCAGCTCTGAGGATCTTAACTCCAAGAACAACTGCCTAGCAAATTTGTTGAGGATGAGATAATTAACTAAATATTTTGAATGGAAGCATCCACAAAATTCTATCTGGTACATGAAAGGGAAAAAATTAATTTAGGGAAAAGAAGACCTAGGTATAAAATGCCTGTCATCCCAATTACACAATATCTATGACTAACCAAGGTGAAAGCAGAGAAGAAGGCACCCACAACACTATCACCTGATCAGATAACCAATGCGCTTCACAAACTGCCTGTAGCGTGCTCTGTTAAAGGTTTCTAATCCCACAGCCAAAAGTTCCACTAATGAATTGGCAAAGGCAAAAATTTTCATCATCTCTTGAGGTCTTGTTGTTTCGGGCAAATAATCACCTAGAAGTTAATTAGATAAAAAGCAAAAAGTATAATTATTATGAAAAAACAGTGAAAGATACAGATGTTAAGTACTTTAATGAAAAACAAAGCCAAGATGGAAACAAATTTAAAATCCCACTACTCGAAACAAAGTAAATATAAAAAATAAGGTATTTAATCTGGGCAACATGCAAACTAGTCATCCTTCTCACAGTTAAGCATTAAGTGTGAAATTATAAGTACAAAAGAAAGGAAATCTACAACACACAGGAATAGGAAAACCTAAATCAGAAGCCTACACAAGTAAGACTGGATGCTTCCTGTATGGAGCCTGCCATTACTACATTTTATTTATTACAAAAGAAACTGGTCTACCTTTTGCTTTAAACCCAAGAAGATGCTGAAAAAGTTCATGAAATGGAAACTGTGATAAAAGGATAACCAAGTCATCTTCATTAAGAAGAATCCAACTGGTTTCAGGGTCTTCATCCTAAAGGAAAAGATGCAAAGTCATGCGGGCTGATTTGTTCAACACATTACGGAGTTGGAGGAGTTAAATTATCACACATGTGGTAGACATCATCATGATTCCTCATGGACTTTTCCTCAAGGACTGAGATTTATAGCCTCAGTTCCACAGACAGATTGAAAAGGCTCTGAAATTGCAAGCCCAATTTCATATGCATCTGGGTCATGTTCATTCTTCAAAAACTAAAACAGCTCATTAAATTTCTACCCCAACAAGCAGTTAGTTCCCCAAAACAAGCATGGTATAAATTATGGTCAAATAATAATTATCTAATTTTTTTTCACTTTGTGAGATTTTTTGTTTCTTTTTCTTAATCTTATTCCTCAACATCCAGAATACTGCAAATACAGGCATGCACTACTGCATCCAGCCTATTTTTTATTTTAGACAAGGTCCCCCTATCTCACTAAGTCACCCAGGCTAAACTCAAATCTTACTTGATTTGTTAAGGGTTTTTTCCCCTTCTTATTTTTAAAATGCCAAGAAGGAAAGGAGGGAAGAAGAGAGGAAGGGGAAAGAGAAGAGGAGAGGGAGAGAGACGGAGAGAAGGAGGAGAGAAAGAAAAGGAAAAAGAAATACATAAAAATAAATTTCCAACCCAAAGAAGATACCTCCCCCCAAAGAAATTCCTTGAGCATGGAAACCTTACTATACAGCTCAATGCTGTGACAATATCAAGTGGAACCCAAGTTATTTTCCCTATCATTTTCTTTCCCCCAAATCAAGGTCTACTGCAGTACACAACCAACTCATTAGGAAGCAATTAGCATTTGCTCCAGATGACTGAAGTTCAGCTGTCAATTAGTGTTGCAGAAAGCAGGACAAAAATACCAAAGAGCACACAGAGAAATTATCTAGGGGATGTCTTTGAGATCTTTTTGTTTGACTTAGAGCCCTAAAGTCATCTTGATAACCAACTTAATCTATGTCCTAAGACATACTACATTTAAAAGGGAAGGAGGTAAAAAGATCCACAGTGAAGAATGTGGAGAACCATAGATCCGCCCCTCCGCCATTTTATGATATAGCCTATGAAGCCATTTTGTATTAGGTTTAGTTTTCCTGTATATATGTTCCCATGGGTGTTTGATGTATCCTTATAAGGTAATAATCTGTTCTGTGTATGCTGATTGGTTGCATTATGGTATATATGTTGCCACCCCTTCCGGGCGAGGAGAGCGGGGTAGAGATCCGGAGATGAGGAACTAAAGTAAACTCCTTGTGTATCAAGTGTGTGCCTCTTTGCTCACATGTCGCCAGTTCAGGCCCCTGTAGTCGCAGACCGAGTTGCCCAAGGCAATCCGGCTCGCGACAAAGAATATATCACCTTGATTTCAATAAACTAATGTAATTCATTCACCATTTCCTTACACTATGCATTTTATCTCCTGAGGTATATGGTACAATTCAGAAGTAATTCGTCCCCCATGGTTCATGTGTTGGGAGTGTGGTCCCCAGGATGCCAGTATTGGGAGGCAGAATGAAAGTATAAGCAGTGAAGTCCAGTGTTAGGTCCTTAAAACACTCAGGGTGCTGCCTTTGGAAGGAATTAAGGAAGTTCCTATAGGACCCCTTGGTAGCCGCACAAGAGTTGTTACAAGAAGAGCAAGCTAACCTCATCTAGAGCTCTCTGTCTTAATATTTTGAGATGTGATCCTTTTTCCTCCATGCACTCTACCGTCTCATCTTCCATCTTCCAAAACAGCTAATTAAACTCCCTTTCTTTATAAAATTAGCTTAGGTATTTCATTACAATAATTCTAAACAGACTATTACAGTGGCCAAAATGGCTAAGAAAGTCTCAGATATTCCATTTAGAGCAGCAGTTCTCAACTCTGGGTGTACATTAGGATCACCAGGAAAGTAGTGAAACATCTGAATGTGTGGGTTTGGGCTGGGACAAAGGTGTAAGTTATCCAAGTGATTCTAATATAAAGTTTCAAAAACCACTGATCTGGATTATCCAGAATGCTTTCCTCCCCACAGCTTTTTCTGATTCAACAGCATTCCTAATTCTCACCAACTGTCAAGTTCTCAAACTCACTCAACACTGAGTGAGTACTAACCAGGAGCAAGGTACCAATGCAAGGCCATTAGAAACATTCGTCTCAGACTAAACACAGAATGCCTACCCATCCCCCAAAAAAGACTGCTCTCTTAAGAAAGACCGCTCTGGAAAAACATACTTTAAGGACCACACAAGCTCCAAAGAAGCTCTCTTCAAGAAGAAGGCTCGGTCTCTGGCAAAGGTGTTTGCATTTCCACATCATTTAGCATTTACTACCACTTCACCACCTGCTGCAAGCCTCAGAGGGAATAAAACAACTGTGAAGGGGCTGCCCATTTCTGAATGTGCACTTGGGAAAATACAAAGACAAAACCCTCACAACTACTGTTGCCATTCTGAGAAATGTCCACTGCCCATAAAGACAAGAAGATTGTGTAAATGTGATGGCTGGCTATCCTAGATAAGAACATCAAATAAGGACCTGGACCAGAACGAAGCACTAGAGCTGATAATTAGCTGGAGGAAAAAATTTTCAAATACATTAATCTCATATACAGTAGAAAAATTAACAAGTGTTATCTCAAGCTAGATTTTGGCCATTAAATTCTCATCAAAAATAGAAAACTAGTTTCTCCTTTTCAAACAAGAAGATCCAAGGAAGTTTATCAGCATCAAGGCAGAATCCTGCTCAGCCCAGCTGCTCATTATTCAGACTCAAACTATCTATATCTCAAACCCCCATAACTTGTAGTATATAAAAGAAAACCCTCATATAAATTTCATTTAGCAAGGCTAAATTTTATTTCCAGGTTCCTCCTCCCAGCTGAACACAAGGCTATTCTATAGAAGGGGGTAGCATAGCACAATGGCTCTGGCTCTGGAGGACACCTATTTAACGACTGGACGATCCGAGACAAGCTACTTCAGTTCCCTGCACTTCAATTTGTTCACACGTAAAAAGAAAAACACAGTAGTACTTACCCCTTGAGGTTGGTAGAATTAAGTAAGATAATAAGTGAAAGTGCTTAGAATAACACCTGGTATATAAGAACAATTAAAAAGGATTAATATCAAAACAATGAAGACATGACAAATTACCTCTTCTCCTCCCTCATCTACTAAAGTCCAGTTCCCAGATGCAGGTCCTGAAGAGGATGGCTTCCACTCACTGGGCTTCATGTGGCACATAAACTCTGCTCGATTTCTAAAGGACAAAGGAAATTACTCCAATTACATAAACACAGAAAGGCCCACATGAGTGCATTACAAATCTCGTATGCACTCCAAAGAAGATTCAGTTATCAACACAACTTCAAATTGCTCACATTAATATATAAGACCTATTGAAAATCAAGAATACTAAAACCTTACTAACTTGGGTAGAGATCATGATTCTGAATTACACAGTAATACAGCAACTGCAGAAAAGCAGTTACACTAATACAGCTCTCACTCCACAGTGATAATGAATGTATTGCCAGGAGTAGTGGTACATGCCTGTAATCTCAGGTATATGGAAGACTGAGGCAGGAGGCTCCCAGGTTCAAATCCAGCCTGGGCAACTTAGTGAAAGCTGGTCTCCAGAAAAAGGTTCAAGAGCTGGGGGTGCAACTAAAGTGGTTACAGCAGTTGCCTAGCACAGGTTCCATCCCTAGTGTCTCAAAGAACGTGAGAGAGAGAGAGAGAGAGAGAGACAGACAAAGACAGAGACAGAGAGATAGAGATAGAGAGAAACAGAAAGACAGACAAGGACTTCTGAAGTACCTTTACTCAAAAAAGGGTAACAAAATGTGGCTGGGGAGACATGGTTAGTCTTTGCGCTTTACCACATAGAAAACGATAACCCAAAAGTAATGCAGAGGCTTGTTTAAGCCCCAGTAGATGTCAATGCAGAAACAACACCTGAGTGAAATCACACTGCCATATGTTGGAGCAGCCCCTGTGCACAGGCAGTAAGGCAGAAGGGGAACGAAGAATTCCTGCCAGCCAGCTTTCTCAAGCTACTGGCTGGATCTGATGAGCAGGTACAACTGAGACAGTTTCTTTTCAGTCCTTTGTTCCTTTTTCTTTGAAAATTCATCCACTCCTATCTTTACCCAGAAACTTTTCTGCCTTCTAACTCTGCAGCTCTAGGACTGCCCTTTCAACTAGACAAGCGCCAATTACAAACTCCTGATGTTCCCAAGAATGTGTCACTTGTATATTTCCACTTGTTTACAGTGTATCAAACAACCTTAAAGTTTCCTCCCTACAAAGCAGCTCTTCTTTCTTTTCTGTTAGTGCTGCCAATATCCTCCAACCCAAACTCGAAAGTCTGACCCATTCCTTTCCTACATTCTTTACTTGATCAGCTAAATCGTTTCCTGGGAAGATGACCTTTGGGTTCCCCTCCCCTTCCCACTACTATTACCCTGAAGCAGACTGGGAGGTAGACTTCACAGGACCTGACAGAATAGTGGCAGTAACAGTGTTCAGGGTTCCCTTTACACAGACCCTGCCTTCTCCCCAGTCATGGATGCACCCTCTTGAAGTTGGGTTGGGTTCCAGGGTCAGGAGAGACAGATGTTTGCAACCATTCGATTGAGAAGCACATATTCTTCTCCCCTCCATCCATCCCAATCTTCCTAAAATACAACTTTTACCCCTATTCCAAAACTACCCATTGTTACAAAGGCCCAACTGTATCAAATACCTGTGCTTAAATTTAAAGGCTTTCCATTCTCTAACCAACCCTAGTCAATCACATCTTTATGATCATCATCTCCTGAACATACCTTTATCCCAACCAGGCTGATGTGCCTGTCCTCTTTCTAGCCACCCAACTTGTACTAGGACCATACTATTCTCTCCACCTACAAGCTACCTTAGCCTTTTTATCCCACTGAAAGGCAACCTGTTCTTCAAAGCTTGTTCATCTACCATGGAACCCTCTCTGACCGCTGTTTATTCCCTGCATTGCTATAGCTGTAATTACAGATTTACAATTTAGCACTTCAATTCCTCTGAACCCCCCACCCTCAGCCAGTACTAAATCATTTCTTTTAAGGAATTCATCATTTCTTTTGTCTGTAGGACCTTTTACAATGGCATATACAAGAAAAAAGATGAATCCACTAAAAGGGGGAACCCAAAAGAGGTTAATAAGCAGTTAAAAGGGTAACTTTCAGACAGAGGGTTATCAAATCCAAAGGAAATCTACAATGGTAAGTCATACCATGCTAATACTTCCCTCAGAAATTCTTCTTTGGATCTAGACAAATAAAGAAGCCAGTACTTTGATAAAACAGAACGTTTCAATTTCTATCAACTTCACAAAACCTTCCACACTTACTTGACAGGAGACATCAGCAGGGCAAGAGACTGCATGAAATGAAATACCCCAGAAGGGTTGTTCAATACCTTGATCTGAAATCAGAAAAGGAAAAATAATACTGTAGAACACCAACAATCCAGGTGTTCATAAGCTTAGTTCACAAGCACTCTAACAATAAAGTTGCTATCAAGAGAACAAAGTTGAAACTGTCACCTAAACCCCAAGAGTGAGACACAGCTCACTGATTACCCGGTTTCACCGCCTCAGCTGTACTCAAGGAGCAAAGGCAGTGGAGCAATTTACATCAACCACCTGCAACACAAGATGTGGACAACAATGCTACTTTAATCCAAAGAGGAACAAAAGCAAAAAATCCCCTTCATTTTTAAAATACTCTGGCTCCTCACCACCAGAAAGACTTAAGTAAAGAAAATACAAAGAAATTGAATTTGACATACATTTGGCTCCTGTCCAGCTGAGTGATGGCTAAGATTAATAAAATGACCCAAAGGCAAGCAGCAGAGGAGAAACTATAAACCAGACAATAAACTCCTAAGTACATGAAAGTTGTCCACAGAGGTCTGAGATCTCTGTTAATAGCTGGTGCTTCCCGTTTTACTTATACTAAGTGCCCTATGAGATGAATGAGTTTAGGAAGCTATGTTGAAGCACTACAGAAAAAATAGTACCAGCAAGCCTTCTGGCACAAAGCATACAGAATATAACACAACTAAAACTATCAAGCCAGACTAGTACCGAATGTTTTCAATTCTGTCATAATTTCAACAAGTGTAGGTGGCCCAAGAAGTTTTGCCAAAATCTCCTATAAATATACACTAGATCTATTTCAATATTATCAAGTTTTAAATTTTTTTCTTTTTAGCAGTTTCTTAGGACAATCATTTAATAAAACCTTTACCCCAGTCCATCACAATCAGAAAGAAACGACTCATACCTGGATAAAAGGAACGGCCCACTTACTAACACCAGCTGGGCATCGAAGAATATGGTTTAGGAGGAAGAGGTGATCTCCAGGACAGCCGACTCTTTGTAACACTGACACCTGAACAATAAAGGACTCATGCTTCACTAATTAAAACAAAGAATTTATCTAGATAATCTAAAGCTATTTACCCAATGTTTAAGTATTTGCAATCATACAAGAATAACCAAACATAAGATATACTACTGACTGAGTTTCCACCACAGAGGCATATGAATCTATGAGTACTGTACTATGATAAAAAATATCTTAAGTAGTTTCTATGAAAGTCTAATTTTTATTTTCTGGCAAATTATAAACCCTATTTAACAAGCCATATGTGAACTGATAAAGGTCAAGTAATTTAATTCTATTTTTAGTTGGTAATCATTCTCAAATCCAAATGAGTATGCTTGAAACATCACCCCATATTTAAGAATCCCAGGTGAACCTAAACACGCACACACACACACACACACACACACACAGTAGCCCCATGAAAAAATAGAACCAATAAGCTGGGCATGATGGCACATGCCTATAACCCCAGCACTAGGGAGGCTGAGGCAGGAGGATTGCCATGAGTTTGAAGCCAGCCTGAACTGCATAGCAAGACCCTGTCTAAAAAAAAAAAAGAAAAAATAGAACCAATAAGCTGGGCATGATGGCCCATGCCTATAACCCCAGCACTAGGGAGGCTGAGGCAGGAGGATTGCCATGAGTTTGAAGCCAGCCTGAACTGCATAGCAAGACCCTGTCTAAAAAAAAAAAAGAAAAAATAGAACCAATAAGCTGGGCATGATGGCCCATGCCTATAACCCCAGCACTAGGGAGGCTGAGGCAGGAGGATTGCCATGAGTTTGAAGCCAGCCTGAACTGCATAGCAAGACCCTGTCTAAAAAAAAAAAAGAAAAAATAGAACCAATAAGCTGGGCATGATGGCCCATGCCTATAACCCCAGCACTAGGGAGGCTGAGGCAGGAGGATTGCCATGAGTTTGAAGCCAGCCTGAACTGCATAGCAAGACCCTGTCTAAAAAAAAAAAAAAAAAGAAAAAATAGAACCAATAAACAAATACTCCCTCTGCAACACAAATTCCCCAAATCCTGATAGCTTTCTCTAAAAAAACTTTTTCAAGACTAAGTTCAACATTAAAAATGTGATGATAAAAAAGAGTAAGATATGCAAAATGTTTAAATCAAATAACTGTGAATATACATCTAGTCTTCTATTTGGCATACTTCCCAACTCCCTTTCCTTCCTGAGTTCAACTCTGAGTTGAAGACCAGAGTTCATTTAACATAGCACTTACTAGAGAGAAAAGACTTTAGGCTCAAAAAAGCACTCGATAAATAACTTACTACCATATGTCATAATCAAAGAAAAGTCACTAACTACCTAAACCAATTAGCTGAAAAGCTATTGAAGACAAGAATATTAAAAAGTTTAAGAGATAACTCTTAGCTTAAGTAGTTTACTAGGGAAATCAAAGAAAGTCTAGTATATCTGTTTCTATTTCCTTACCAGTTTTTGCAGCCAGAGAAGAATATCATCATGGAACTGAGTATCTTCATTTACTCTCCTGGTAAACATGAACAAAACACTAATGCACTCCTTCAGGTGACATAGATCAGAGGGAAAGCTTTCTGTTGGTTTAGAAGCTATAAATTAAATAGAGAAACAAATAAGTCCCACATAAACAGTGTTTTGGGGAGAATTCTGGTGTCTTCACTTAAATGAAACAAACTATATAAAATGCATTCAAACAAAAACTCAAAAAGGAAAGTAAGTTCCCTCAAGATATTTGAATTCCTAGCCAGGCACAGTGGCTTTGTGCCTGTATCCCAGCTACTCAGCATACAGGGCAGGGATACTAAGTTCAAGGTCAGCCCAAGCAACTCAGTGAAACACTGTCAGTAAATTAAAAAGAGCTGACGATGTAGTTCAGCATTCCCTGGTTCAACCCCCAGGACTACACACAGAAAATGAAAAGTATTTTAATTTCCACTAGATAAGTATTTGAAAGCAAGGGAAACTGAACTTTTTTTCACACATTTTTTTAAAATTTGAAAACCAGCAGATCTCTGGCCCTACCCTAACTCTTTGATTTGTTAAGAAAACAAAGTGGGGAAAGAGGAGGTGAAGTTTTACTTGTAAAGGAGCCTAGTATTTCTCCCAGAAATAAAAACTTCATAATTCCAAAAGCATATAGAATGCTTAACATGCCATGCAGAACAAGCTGATTTTTTAACACGCACCTGCCAACTTAAACCACCAGTGGTAAATGCACGACTGTCCCAGTCGGCGGCTTGTACTGCTTGGTACAAATGGGTACAGCCCATCACTTTTTTTGTTGCTTTTGTTTTTTGAGACAGGGTCTCACTACATAGTTCAGGCTGGCCTAAACTCACTACGTAGCCTATGCTGGCTTCAAACTCATGGTTCTCCTCCTGCCTCAGCTTCCCGAGTGCTAGGATTACAGGTGTGCACCACCATGCCCAGCATATCCAATCAATTTTATCAATCTTTTCAATAGTAAAATTAATAGGAAGTCTATATAAATCTAGTTAGTTGTTTGAATTTGAAATATTGCTGCCCAAATATAAATATTAATACTAATCAATTAAAAAGTATTACAATAATCAACAAATTTGTCTGTTAAAAAATTTTTATTCATTTTTTAATTTTTAAAAAACATTTTACACATAAAGGCAGCTGATTTTTGCAGAATGTGTGAAATATAATGCGTTTGGCTGTTTGGTGGGCCACAGCAAGCAGCACCCATTTTTCAGATAATTTTTCTCTAACATTCTCTTCATTGTTTGTGTGCATTTCTTGCTGATCCTGTATAAGCTTTTACAAAGTAAATGTTTTTTGAGTACTCTGCACCCATGGCATTTCTTCACAGGTTAATACTTTTTATCAATAATTAATTCTCTAAATTTTGACATGGAAATCTTGCAAGTACCCCATTGCTGGTATATATATATATATAACCGCTGTACTTAGCTGTATTACAATTTTTTATACCATTTTAATGTTTCATTTAAGGAACTGTAGTATGATGACCTCTGATCTGCTAAATCAACACCTTTCTTTGCATTACTATAATCAAAGACTCCGTGAGAAGTGATACAAGCTACCCAATGGGACAGTTGTGCATGTACCAGCAGTGGTTTAAACTGCCCAACAGGACAGTTACTCAAACCAGAGCTGCCCGGCAGCAAGACATACGAATTATGGCCCCATCATAGAGATGTTAAAATGCACACACACAAAAAAAAAATTTGAAAATTTTAGAACATTAAAAATTGAACAGAAAATTTAAAATTTCACTTAAAAATTTCACATTAAAAATCACTTAAAAATTAAACAGAAAAAATGGGCTGGGATGTAGCTCAGTGGCACCACGCCTGCCTTGCAAGCACAAGGTCCTGAGTTTGATCCCCAGTATTCAAAAAAAATGTTGTTTTAATTAAACAGCACAGTCCAACAAACTGAAAAAGCAAAAATAACATGCAAGAGACAGGATGAAAAGATCTTCTAAGTTTTAGAATCAAACTCCATTTGGATGCTACTTGGTAACACAGAATGTCAAGGACACAGAACATTAAGGGACATTACTGACACTGAGTGAGCTTCCTGAAATCCTAAAGAAACACAGAATGACAGCCAGGGGAAGGGAGGTTTAGCACTGCTCCCAAGAAATATCTCAAAGGCAGGTCAATTCTACCTAGAAGAGGCAATATTAAACTACCAGTACAACCAACACCTTGTAAGACCAAGAATAGTCAACTCAACCAATTTGCATGCCTTGATTATATTTTTCCATTTTAGACCATAAGAAAGGGTGAGATCTCCATTACTCACACACCTCGGCCTTGCTGATGAATTGCTAAAGATCGCAGAACAGCTGAGCTATTAAGCAATGCATAGATGTAAGACTCCACTTGCAACCTCGAGAGCACAGAAGTGTAAGAATGAAGGGCCAGAGTTTGGTGGAGGTGTTCAGATTTGGCATCAAATAGCTTCTTTAGCTCCTCCAGTGCATTTTCATTCATTTCTACTCTCTGGTAGCGATGATGGCCAGAAACTTTCACTTGATCTGCACAGATACCCTATCAGTTGATAAAAAGATAAAATATGAAACCAGTACATTTTTAGCAATCAGGCAGAAGGTATATAACACACAGGCTTCAGTATCATTTCCAAAGAGCTAATAGTCATGAGGGGACCACACTACTGTGAAAGAAATAATACCAGTGAGTAAATGACCATGTGCCCCAGAGAACAGTGCCAATTACAAACACATATTAGGGAAAAGTAACACTAAGAAGAAATCAGTGAGGAAAGGTGCAAGGAAACAATACAGCTTGTCTCTCAGACTCTCACACTGAAAATCTTATTTTCTATTTTATGAACATTGAGGCCAATGTGATATTCCCTCGGCTTCAAGTTACCTAAAATATCCCTGGAACTACCCTCACTATTCTTTGCAGTTCTGCTCAAAAGAAACCTCTAACTGGGTATGGTGGTGGATGCCTGTAATTCCAGCTCTCAAAATGTTGAGGCAGCAGGATCGCAAATGCAAGCCTGCCCAGACTACACAGTGAGACCTTGTCTCACAAATAAAAGGAAAAAGAAACCCCTCTCCATTTCAATACTAACTCCTACAGCTCTGGTTTTTGTTTTTGTTTTATTTTTGTACTGGGGATCAAACTCTAGTCCTTCTGCTTGCAAGGCAGGCATAGGAACCACTGAGCTAAATCGCCGGCACTCCAGTTCTTGACCCTGGACCCTTCTTTTCAATATTTCCAAATGTTTCCCTCTCCATAGACTCCTCCCTGTATGCAAAGAGATACACAGACTCCCAACAAACGATAGTTAGGAATCAGGAAATCAATTTCTCCCTAATATCTCCTTCAGCTTCCCTTCAATACCAACCTTGTCCGAGTGGCTGTCTCTTCAATCCCCGGTACCAAAAAAAAGAGTGGCTACTTTGCCATCCCTCCCAGGTCACTGTAAAATGACTTTCTTATGGTCATCTTGGCCTCCATATGACCCCATCTAATGAATTTCCCTGTTTCCTCATCTCTCAGCCTTGACACTCTCCACCCATGAGACATTTGTGGCACTATGGCTAAAGTCTCAATGGGCCGAGTTTGACATCGAGACATGATTTTCTGGCTTTGATGTGTATATGTGCTAGTTAGTTGCTAACATTGCCTATCAGCATCTCTCATACAAAAATCCAGGTTTCTAGTTTTTTTGGAAAAAATCTTAAGATGTAGCAATCCTGGACCATCACTATATGACAGCACCCATCAGCCAGAACTCAAAAGCGGCTGCCCCCAGTAGACCAGGCATGAGATTCCTCAGTGACTCTTGTCCTACTCAGGCTGCTTCATTCCCACAGGTTATGGGCCCAGCCTCTGCATTTGATTTTGTGATCCTTGTACTACTCTGGCCTAATTCAGGGTTAGTGTGGGTACAAGGAGCAAGTGTGGGTCTGGACAGCATTGTAAGAACAGCAGCTCCACTGAGAATTTCCCGGGCCCTTGAGAGTTTTACAGAATACTAGTCAAAATACCTGTACAGATATTTGTTCCTCCTTAAAGTGCCACAGTCGGCTTTTAGCATTTTGGCAATCAGATGTCATAGTAAGCAACTCAGCTTCAGCCAGCAGCAACTGCTTCCTACATCGTGAGTAGTTCAAAAGCAGCTCATAAAATTCATGCCTGTCCTGATGAGCCATGCTGTCAAATTCCTCTAAATATGACTCAACATTCTCCAGCCATGAACCAGGTTCCAAGATCTTTAGCTGTTCTTTAGTAAATGGTATTAGCTCAGGTTGAGATGGGAGTTCTGGGTAGAGTCGTTCATTACAAAGCAAGGGTTTCCCAGCCACCAAAGATTGTACTTCTCCAGAAATTTCAGCTGGCAACTGAGGATACAGTTTCTTCACTCTAGGTGGCTGAGAAACTTCTTTGGCTTCATAAGAACTCTGCAAGCCAACATTTAGAAGTACTTCTGAAGAACAATCTAGGGCTTCCCTATTCTGAGTCTCTCTGACTTGTAAATTTTCCATTTCCTGTTCAGTATAGGAAAAATCAGATGGTAGCGTGCTTTCTGAGGGTCCACATTGCACCACTGTATTTTCCTCTCCTTCTATAAAGTTCCTGTGGGTTTCAACTTTAGTACCCATGTGGTATCCAGAGCTCTCCTTCAACATGATTTCATCAACCTCCACACAGGCTCTCACGTCTTCCTCTTCTTTTAGGGGTCCTGGGTGACATGTCAGACAACCTTCATTGTCTATAGTCAGGGAGGTGAGTGGTATATCAAACATTTCACTTTCGTTCTGTCCACTGACATCACTCTGGAGAGGGGAATCAGTTAAGACCTTTAGATGGTCTCCTTTGAATTCACAAGGTGGAGGAAGGATTTCCTGTTCTTTGGAGGTTTTTGGAAGGGAGATTTCATCAGACTCCTCTGTCTGAAGGGTTTCATATTTCTTCTTTTCCTAAAACAAAAATTATTAAGAAATAAGTTAACAGTAACTGATGCTTTCAGCATAGAGAAAAAAAAATTTTTTTTTGAGACAGTGTCTTGCTTTGTAGTTCAGGCTGGTCTTGAGCTTGCTATGCAGTTCAGGCTGGCCCAGAACTCATGGCAGTCCTCCTGCCTCAGCCTCCCAAGTGCTGGGATTATAGGCATGTGCCACCACATCTGGCGCAGCATAAGGATATTTTCTCTGGTACCAGGAATCAAACTCAGGACCATAGGCTTGCCTGACAGGCTTGGTGCCACTGAGCTATATCCCTGGCCCAGCATAAGAAATCTTTAAACTGCATATGAAATCTAAATTTTGTCATTTAAATGGAATATAAATGTACTTCATAAGCAATATGTTTCATAGTCAGTATTATCCAAGTTTGAGTATGTTGAATTTGAATAGATTCACTAGTATAATTCTAAAAGAAAATGACATCACAGTAAGCAGCAAATTATGATGCAAAACTAGGAAAGTATTAACTAGACTGTCCATCGTTTTGCTAAGTAAACAGAAAAGTCATCAGCCACCTTAGAGTACCACAGGGTTTTATCTTGATAAACATAATCCAAGCTCAAGAAGAAAAGGTTGTAAGAATTTGAATACTAAAACAAATAGCTACAGGACATAAGAGGAGGGGAAAGAATGGGATAAAATAAAAGTTTTTTTTTTTTAAATAGCTACAGCACTAGATTACATACTATAAGATAAAATAAATATTCCTAAAAATAAAATAAAAATAAATAAATATTCCTGAGCCCACAGTGATGACCAATTACCTGAATGAATAAATGTATAAATAAAAATGGGTGGGAGCAAGGTATGGTGGTGCACACCTCTGATCCCAGTGCTCTGGGAAGCTGAGGGAGGAGGATCAGAAATTCAAGCCTTGCCTGGACAATGTAACAACTCAGCAAAGAGAAAAAGGGCCTTAATGGAAAAACTTCTAAGAATCAAATATGTTCAGCCAGGCATGGTGGCACACACCTGTAATCCCAGCACTTGGGAGGCTGAGGCAGGAGGATCGCTGTGAGTTTGAGACCAGCCTGGGGTACATAGTGAGTTCCAGGTCAGTCTCAAATACATAGTGAGACCCTGTCTCAAAAAACCAAAAAAACAAACAAACAAAAAAAATCAAATATGTTCTAAATTTCAATTAACAATATTGTACCAAATCTATTTTCTTGGTTTTGAAAATGTTCTATGCCACAGAACATACAGTTATTCTGTAGAAGATGATACCATAAGAGGATTCCACATATATAGGAACTCTCTGGGTAATATTTGCAACTTTTCACTAAGTACAAAATTATCCCCACAAAGCAAAAGCATAAAAAGTTAACTACCAAAAAAGTAAAATTATGTTTTTAAAAAAAAAATCTCAGGCATTAACACATACTAGGTAACATAAGAATCCAAGGTAAATCAAGAAGAAAAACTATTAAATATATTTAATAATTATTTAAATAAAGTTTTTTACATTGAAACTAAAAATCTGACTGAAATCATTCAAATGCTTCCTTTTTACTATGCAATTTTAAGGAACAGAGCTACACAGGTTGGTGTTTTAGATCATTCTTCTGTCAATATCCATCAAAATAGTTGACAAGCCAGGCATGGTGGTACATGCCTGTAATCCCAGCACTAGGGAGGCTGAGGCAGGAGGACTGCTGTGAGTTTGAGGTCAGCCTGGGCTACATAGAGCTCAAGGCCAGTCTGAATCACACAGTGAGACCCTGTCTCAAAAAAACAAAAAAACAAAGTTAACAGAAGGTGGGGCCTTTGTATGTCAGGAAGAAAAGATAAATGTCTTTGAAATGGAATTTGAGATCAGCTTGCTAAAATAACCAAAGAAGCCAAATACTTATAAATGGTAATGATTCAAAAAACAATATACACCCTCCACTCTACACCATGAACTGTTGGGTATTAGATTCAGGGACACACAGTGCACATCTAATGAAAATCAGTTTGCTAAAACAGTAATGAGAAAACATATGAATGTTAATTAAAAAAGGAAAAAGTAGCCACATTTTTCAGGTGAGATGATTAGCATGCTCTTTATAATAAACAGGTTTCTCAGAGTGCAAGATCAAAAGGGAAAAATCAGGAGGGCGTACAGTTATTGGGAGTGAAAGAAATGTTGGCATACTGGTCAGGGCAGAGACCAAGTTTTAGTGAATTGAAAAATCAGAAAATGAAATTATAAAACAATTTCATTTATAATAGCACAAAAAGAACAAAGTACTTAAGGATAAGTTGAGCAAAAGAAATGTAAAACTTGTTCTCTGAAATTATGTAACATTACTAAAAGAAATCAAAGACTTAATAAATAGAAAGACAGTCCATGTATTTCACAATCGTAAGATGGCAATGCACCTCAAATTCATCTACAGACTAAACACAATCCCTAGCAAAACCCCAGCTGCCTCTTTTGCAGAAATACACAAGCTGATCCTTAAATTCATATGAGAATGTAAGGAACCTAAAATAGACATGGACAAACACAGACACACAAACCACCTTTAAAAAAATATGGTGATTTTATATATAAGGGAGGAGGGGAATGGAGGAGAAAAGAAGAAAGATATATGATGTACTGGTACAAATTCCCTATGATGCGTGTTATCATTAAGTATATCTACAATATATACCAATGTTTTGCTAAAAAAAAAAGTTGGAAAACTCACCCTGGCATTTCAAAACCTACCTAGTACAAAACTATAGTAACAAAGGCGGTACAGTGCTAGTATATGAATAAATACATAGATCAATGAAAGAACTGAGAATCCAAAAATAAAACCATGTATTTAGGGTCAACTAATTTTAACAAGGGTGACAAGCTAATTCGACAGGAAAGAAGTCTTTTAACAAATGGTGCTGAATATTCTCATTGGAGAATAATAAAATTTGACTCATATATAAAAAATTGAGTCAAAAAAAGGATCACAGACCAGGGTCCAAGGGTGAAAAACAGTGCATGCTTAGCATATACAAAGCCCTGGGTTTGATCCCTAACCCTGCAAAAGGAAAAAGAGAAAAGAGAATCTTAGACCTAATGTAAGAGCTAAAACTTTAATGCTCTTGGCCAGGCATGGTGCTGCATGCCTGTAATTCCAGTACCTGGAGGCTGAGTCAGGAGGATTGCTGAGTTTGAGGTCAGCCTGGACTACATAGTGATTTCAAGGCCAGTTTGAACTACACAGTGAAACCTTGTCTCAAAAAACAAAAACAAACAAACAAAAACTTTAAAACTCTTATTATTATATGTGCTGCCGAAGCAAGCACAAAACTTTAAAACTCTTAGAAGGGAAAAAGAATAACCATTGATTGATGACCTCAGTGAGGCAGAGCCTTCTTAGATATGGCACCAAAAGCACAAACAAAAGAAAAATTTTGACTTTATCAAAATCAAAAACTTTTTTGCTACAAGTGAAACCATCAAGAAAGAGAAAAAGATCAGTCTCTTAGTTGGCTTACAGAAAAGAAAAAAAAAGAAAAAATAGCCTCACAGAATAAAGAAAATAGTTATAAATCAATCATAATGTATTTATATGCTGAATACACAGAGCTTATTTAACTCAGCATTAATAGTATATAAAACTCAATTTTAAACAGAAGATATATAAATAGCACATGAAAGATGCTCAACATCATTAGCCAATAGAGAAATGCAAGTCAAAAATCACAGTAAGATATCATGACACATCCACTAGAGTAACTACTGTATAAAGTCAAACAGTAAACGCTGGCAAGGATGTAGAGAAATTAGAACCCATGTTCGCTTTGGCAGCACATGTACTATACTGGAATAATACAGAAACATGAGAATCTTCCTATGTTGCTAATGGGAATGAATGAACCGTGATGCAGTGCTATGAAGCACAGGATTGGGGGACACACTACTCTGACCCTACAGTCACACTAAAACCAACTGAATTATACATTCTAACTAGGTCAGGTGAATGGTGTGTGAATAAACCTCAATAAATCTGTTAAAAATAAAGATTAAAAGAATAAGTTAAGAAATGAATGAAAAGGAAATGAAGAACAGAATATAGAATAGAGGAACCTAGTTTTTTAAATTTTATTTTCTCTTAAACTATATTTGGAATGTTAAATGCTAGGAGAGAGAGAGGGCTCAGAAGATGCACTCATAAAATGGACAACACGAACTTGGCTTAGCAAACCCTATCTCCACTGATCCACAGGCCACCCCAAGACTTCTTCTGCACCCTGTCCCTTGGGCAGTTTTTAACCTCCTTTTGTCCCAAACACTACTCCCAACCCACACCATTCAGATCCACCTTCCCAGGAAAACTCACAACCATAATAGCAACAGTTAAGATAGTTAGATAATCAATGAAGAAACTTTCTTTTTTTTTAACCTTTTATCCTCCAGGAAGAACACATAGCCTATGTTTAGGGTTTTATTTTCCATGTGGATGGAACTCACTCATCTGGGTTTCAAAAGTAGAACCAAAGACAATTCTCCACCCTTACCTATGTTAGAGGAGTACCAGCTGGTAATGGAATTTAAGATGAAGAAATTACTGAATTATCCAACAAATATTTATACAAACAATGTGCTCTGGCACACTCAAAAATTTATCTTTACATGTTTCTCAGAAAGCACAAGGAAGACCAACAAATTCAGAAGAAACTGAACTTTTATGCCTGAATATAAATCTATCTTATATTTAAAATGTAAAATACAGGGCTGGGGATTTAGCTCAGTGGTTCTGCCGCCTGCCTCGCAAGCACAATGGTCCTGAGTTCAATCCCCAGTACCCCCAAGTTATAAATCAATCATAATGTATTTATATGCTGAATACACAGAGCTTATTTAACTCAGCATTAATAGTATATAAAACTCAATTTTAAACAGAAGATATATAAATAGCACATGAAAGATGCTCAACATCATTAGCCAATAGAGAAATGCAAGTCAAAAATCACAGTAAGATATC